TTGTTTCTAACCAACAATATTTTGATGATATTGAATTATTTTGATTTATTGATTCAGTAAAAAAATTTTGTAAAAATATTTTTAATTCTTCTCGTTCTTGTTCACTTGTTTGAGATGATGGTTCATTACTTGTTACTGTTAATGTTTGTGATAAAACATTTAATGAATCAGATTCAACATCTATTAGAAAAACAAGATTTTCATATAATTTAAAAATTCTTTTTTTTTTCTTTTTAACCTCACCTGATGTAAGAATAGAATTATTAACAACAGTTTTTTGTCTACATCGATAAAAACAAAATTAATTATGAAAAAAACAAAACAAAAAATGAAATACTTACACATCATCATCTAATAATTCTTCATCATCTAATTGTTTAACATCAGCTAAAAAAAAACATTTAGAATGATGATATATTAACAAAATAAATAAATATATACCAGCTAAAATACTATCATTTTCAATTCCTTGTGAATCACTTATTTCATCATTAACCATCATTTGTACAAGAACTTCATCATCAATTTGTTGACCTAGAAAAATCAAAAAATTTCTATTTACGAAAAATTATGTTTAAATTTACTCATACTCATTGTAGTAACTCGTTCAATTTGTGCTAAATCTATTGTTGTATCATTAAGATTTACAAGTGGACTCGATTGTGATACTTCATCCTTAGGTGGAGGTCTACAAAAAAAAAAAAACAAATCTTCTATTGAATTTCTATGATTCATTTTGTTTTATATTAACCGTTTTTCAATATTTGTTTTTAATTTTTCTTGATGACGAATTTCTGCAACAAATGGATTTGTACGAGGACGTTCTATTAAAATTAACTAAATATTAAAATGAATAGTTTTATTTTGAGATATTATACCTGGTGATGTTGGTGGTGTTAAATGATCGGTAATATTTAAATTTTCTCGTCTAGTTCGTTCATTATTCCATAGAGCTTGTAAACCTGGATTAGCAATACCTTTACCTATAAATAAATAAATATAGATAAACTAATATATTTTTTACTTCAATAAAAATCGACCTATTTGAGGTGGTTTATTACAAATATCATCAATATGTACATCATATTCAAGTTCACAAGATGATACTCGTTGGACAGATGATATACTATTGAAAAATTTCATATTACTTTTTATCTAGTTCGATTAAGAAGGAAATTATTTTACTTTGTTGTTTGATTAGTTGCTGTTGAAAGATTAGCTAAATTTATAATAATGAAAGTTAATTGAAAAAAAAAACAAAACCATTCTATTGTATTTACTGCTTATTTGTGATGAATGTCGTTCAAAAGCATTGTTGAATAATATAAAATTCATACCATATAAATTATAATCAATAAAAAACTAAATAAAAATTGTTTTTTTTTGTTTTTGTTCATTTCTAGCAATATAAAAAAAGTATCTACTTGAAGATTAAACGGAACATGAGCTTCATGTGGTTGAAATTTTTGATTCATTACAGCACCAGCTAA